AACTTGAAGCTAATACTGGAATAATTTTGTACAAGGAACAGCAATATCCTACTGTTTGTGTGTGTGTGTCAGGTGTGTGTGTGTCAGGTGTGTCAGGTGTGTACATGCTGTCAGGTGTGCACATGTGTACTTATTGTGTACGGTATGTGTGAGAGGAGCAAATAATTACAATGTTCTAATTTTTTCTCGGTTTATAATTGAAAACTGAGAATATTTACCAAGTCTAATTCTCCCAACATAAGGTCATCTTATTTAATAAATGCGTTAAATTATAATTCTCTCCTTTGTAACTTAATTCGGTAAATACCAATTAATTCTATAAAAATATTCTGCTCACATTTTTATATTTTCCAGCACAATAATTCTTCAGTGTTTAGTGATTAAATCTCTATTCCCTATTTGGGTTTGAAAACTGAACCCATAAACATTTATGAATGTTGCTTCCAGTTCACCTCTAATCCTGACTCGACAGACTTTATCATCAGTGTTCCTACTGGTAATTTTAACAAAAGTCCTTAAGAGTAATAAAGGGGCGAGAAGACCAGAGGAAGACAGACCCAGGCGGTTGTAGACTTCAACAGCTGTTTCCATTAAAGATAAATATAGTTATGGAGGTGGGCCATGGTCTCCAACCCTCAGATACGAGGCTAGTAACTTCAATGACGGCGTTCTTGTTCTCTGGGTATTTAAGGAGGACCCAACACATGAGGTTGATCCTCGGGTACTTTAGCCACCGAGTGTCTCCAACACTAAGTCTCTACCGCAACAGTGATATACAGTACTGTATTTGTTCACTGGCCAGCTCAGTGGTGTTCATCCTCCCAGACAACCACCACTTGCATCTGTCTCGGCTTCAGGTTAACATCCCAAGTGTCGTGCATGATTTTTTCTTTGTTACAATCTGAGTTTTTTTGGTTCCTCCTCAAGACAGTTAAGAGTTTATGAACCATCAATCAACTGACAGAACTGGTAGGAGAAAATATTTTAGAGTAAAGGAATAAAAACTATGGCAGTATAAATAAATTTGTTTATATTTAACAAAACAGTGAACAGAAACTATTTTAAAATTACTGTAACATAAAATGGTCACTTGCATGTGTAAAACACGATGAAATGACAATTAAGACTAGATTAAATATACTATACTATCAACAACAATAAAACAGCTATCTTTTAAAAGAGTAATAACAATCTTTAACAGTAACAAAGACCCCACAAGGAGTCCTACAATGTCCAATGTTCACCGTTTCATTCGTATTTCCTTCTTAGATTAATATATCTTTTTACATATATAACACAGCGCCCCTCCAGGTGTCTACTGTGTGCTTGGATATCCTCTAATAGTAAAATATATAAATGACTTGATAAAGTATTTTTCCGCTAAATGGTTAAGTTGACAAACTGTCCTACAAGGAGGCGTTGGAGGTTTACTGCATCTCAAGAGGTCTTTTGAGTTCATGTGACTTCAGCTTTATTTTTACACGTCACGACATCAAACATTCCTCATGATAGCAGGGTAACTTTTTATCTTCTAAGGATCTCTATCCAGATATAGTATCCTGAAGGACGAAGTCTTCTATATCCTTCAACAGGATTTCAAGGTCCCTATCCTCTAAAAGACGGCCTCATTGTAAGCCATCATATGTTCACAAGCTCACCGCCTCTATATATAGCCTCCAGAACTCTGGCAGGTTCGTCTTGTTGCTCGTTTTCGAATCCTGCACACCTCTCACCGGCCACAGAGATTCTGTGTACCCGTCTTCCGTTCCTCTCCATCACCCAGGCCTCCATGGTCTGCCTCTTGTGAGCGTGCAGTTCCCCCTCTTCCCAGAACCTAGAAGGGCAAGTCATGTTAAGTTGGATGAAGAAGCAACTAAAACTGGAGCGATGGGTGTATGGGGACCAGGTGTAGAGGTGTGGGCCAGGTGTAGAGGTGTGGGCCGGATACAGAGGAATGTGTACCAGTCACAAAGGACTTTAGTACAGGATTATGGTTGACCCTCAAGTTCGGCCAAAGGTTTCTTCCTTAAGTAAGAAATCCACTATTTACTGATCATTTGACTGAGGTGTTCTGCTAAGCCAGCAGCTGATAGAATTGTAATGTTTCCCCACTAGGCCTTTACTCGACAAAACTAACATGCAGGCAGAGAGGCTGAAGGACAGTGATTGACAGACCGATGGACAGAATGATCGACAGACTGGTGGAATGACAGGACCGATTGCTGTTTTCTGCCCATAGCTGTTCATGAAAAGAACAACAAAAAATATCAGCCTGCAGACACAGATGCCCAGACAGATACTACAGGTGTAAAAGTTCTCGTACTCTAGATGTAATAATGATATTCAGCTCACTCACGGTGGTCACGGGTCTCAACAGTACATACGAAACATCAAGCCACGCAGCATCATTTTCCCTTAAAGGCTTCAACATAACCACTTCCCATGACCACTAATCATCAACTTGCTTCTCCCTTCAACCCTTCCTCCCCAACCCTTTCCGAGACCCTTCATCAACAACAAATAAGCACTACCCACCTGTGGATGCCCTTCTGGAAGAACCTGCTGACGAAGCCTTGTTCATTGACGATGTAGAGGACAAGCTCTCCGGAGGATAGTACAGAGAACCTGGCCTCCTTGGGCTGATACACTGCCAGGCCCTGCACGAGGTAGAACTTGGGTTGCGGTTGGTAGCCCTGCAGAAGGAAGGTGCTAGTGTTCCCGCTGGGATTCTGCATCACTGTGCCGAAGTGGCCTAAGGGTGTTGTTCCATCCTCACTGAACCAGTCCATTCTGTCGAGGATAAGAAAGAATGAATAAAGATGTACTATAGATTTGATGAAAATGTAATAGATGGAATAAAAATCGAGTATAATTTAAAGATAAAAGAAAAATACACAAGTGAATAAAATAAATATAAAATCAAATTCCATTATAGGCAAGAAAAATTAAATGGCATTAAATACAGAATAGTTAAACAAAATGAAATACAAGATAAACTAATGGGAATACTGTAGGTAAAAATACAAATACCTGTACTGTAATAAACAAAACTAACGACCAAGACTCACCTGTAGATGTTGACGGCACCTTCCTGGTCACCCCTAAAGGCCTCCGACACCACCACCAGGAAGAGATCTGTGTAGTGGCTGATCAACTCCACCCAGATTACACTGCGAAGATCCAACTCCTGCAACCACAACAACGTCTAAATTACCATCCATTCTTAGGTGAACTTTTTTAAGACAGTCCTGTGCAGATTCCTCACTAGTAATGACCTGAGTATCAAATCTTATCAATAGTGCCAGGTAATGTTACTAACTATAAATACTTCTAATCCGTTAATTATCCACTAATGTTTTAATTGTGGATTTTTTTTAATTATGACCGTCTGTCAACCCAGGATCATTAGTGAGGTGAACCATTTTAGTGTGTGGTATACAGAGCTTCAGTAAGAGTAATCCATCAACAAGTAATCCCCTGAAATAATTAAATCCATACATTAATCCATGCGAGTAATCAGGCAGATAAGCCAGTGTCCACTCATACACAAATATAAATTTATATCCAATCTGATAAATCTCACTACGAGTAAACTGTTACAATACTATCTGTTACAGCTAATTGATACATCATTCATAGGAATAACTGTACTGAGGGAAATATACTCACACACAAGCACATTCATAATACAAACATGCACCATCATACACAAAACACACATACCTGTATGTATAAAAAACACAGGTACTCGCAAAACAGCCACACAAAATAAGAACATAACATAAAAAAGCAAACACAAACATATATAAAACAATTAAATATACACTAAATACTGTACTAATAATTTACACACACAACACCCACCTGCAGAAGGATGAAGGAGGTGGTGGTGTAGGAGTGGTGGTCACTCCGCCAGATATAGAGAGCTCCCTTACGTTCTGGAGAGTCGCCAGAGTCAGCCACGGCCAAGAAGGTGCAATGGAGGCCGGTGGGGTCTGTGTGCTTGGCTACTGACGCCTGCAACAAACCAGACAGTAACAGACACACAGAAACGCTTATCCAATGGTGACAATATTAAATTAAGATAAAAAGTAATTATAGATATCACAACAATTAGGTCACTGTTGATTATAAAACTAATTAAAGGTGTGTAGTAATGATTATCAAGGTAAAGGTATGAGGAATGATACACAAGTGTCTCACCTTGCGGGGGTTGACAGAAGGTAGTCGGTGGCGCTCCAGGAATTGTCTGGTGGTAGGGTCCTCACACGCCACAACAGTGTCCGTCCCTCGAGCCTCCACCACCACCAGGCACACCTCACCCAGCCACCACATCACCTGTAGTACACCACATATTCAGAGAAAATCCATGAACCCACATAAAAGAAAATAAACCACTAAAAAAATTGTACCAGTAAACATTATTACAAGAATCATATGAATCTAATGACTTGTCACTCAAAAAATCAGTTAAAATATTATCAAGTAAAAGGCTGGAGAAGGTAAGTTAGGAGACCAACCTGTACATCAACTGCACCAGGTGTAGGGAAGGTCGTCACTAGGGAAGGTCGTCTCCTCGCCCCCAGCCTGTACACCCGCACCCATTCATCTCCCACATCCTGCCGACACACCATCATCAAGTGTCAAACAGGTCTTGCTTAACTCACTATTACACCTTCAGCTACATACAGAAATGGATCATGGGGATTCTGAATAAGCGATTTCTTAAGGGACACTTGGATAATACTGTATCATTAAAGTAAAAATATTGAATAGGTGATCGACAGACTCCACGTGAATGATTACAAGATTTCTCTAGTCCTCTACCAGTTACAAATAAATAAAGAAATAACTTTATACGAATGATTAAGAAGACCTAACAGCTCTTCTTTAATACACAGTACGAGGGACTGGCGGATGGCCTCCACTACCTGAGTACCGGCAGAGGTGAGAGTTTGGCCAGGATCCTCGTAGTGACAGACGTGGCCCGTCACGATGAAGGTCTCTTGCTGACGCTCGTACCCCACCACACTCCTGGTACAGTTGCCAGGGATCACCACGCCTGAGGAGGGATGGTGCACAAGTCATCAACTGCTTTCATATGTTCAGGAGACTCCATCCATGGTTCTCGGTGTAAGTCTCAAGGGTCTGGTCCAGTGTTAAGTAATATTTGATGAACTACAACATTATATTAGTGGTAATAAGATCTTCCTGACAGTCAAGAGTTTGGATTATTAAAGGTTCACATGTTAGACAACCTTGTAACTGTTGAATTCATGAGCTGCGTATAATATTTAGCTGCCAGTTGTTAATATAATTCATAAGTTGCGCCAGATAAATCCATTTGATTCCTCGCATGAAGTCCTGTGTGCTAAAACAAGCATCAGTCGTCTCCAATAACAGTTTTGGTGAAGATTCAAGTTATCTAATCTCTAGTTTTCTTTTCAATGTTTCTCGAGTCACTAGAAACCTGTCAAGTAAATCGTGCCAGTACAGTATCTAATTTTACATTACTTAATGATCCTTTAAATTACTTTTCTGCACTTGATAAAAAAATCTTTATCAACAAGACCAATTACGAGTGTTAGATGCTCATAATGTACTGTACATACATATTAACACTACCAACGACAAGAAATTATTCAATAACTTTATACAAAAAATTTTAACTGATCTAAACATTAATGAACATACCAAAGTCATGGTACTGTTCGGTTGTGCTGCTGTACTCCAGGATCTTGGTGTCACCTAGACGAGTTATGAGTGCCAGGTATTTGGAGGAGAGGGCCACAGTGCCATCAACACTGCCAGACTCTGTCCAGTCCATTCTGAGGGGGATGATCTTCAACGGGATCTGTTCAAACTCCTGTACCAGACGCCAACCCCAGAACTCATGCACTCGACCTGGCCAACAGAAGGATTCGCTACTAGGAAAATGAAATTATTATACTGTACAATTCACTGGAACCCAACGACTGATTGTTTTGTTAGAAGATTCGGACTTAAAACGTACAGTATTTTTGTATTAAAACTTAAAAAAATTATATATGCCAGCAGTATTTTGCAACACAGTCTTGAGTACATGTACTTTTTACCACCATGATATCTGTTAATACCAATCCTCTTCAGTAGTAACTAGGAGGCCTGAAACCGACATAAATCTCTAAGTTTCGAGATAAAGTCAACAAACCTGATTCAAGAAATAATAATATATCCTTCGACCTCAAAATATTCATCCTCTTCAGAAAATGCCAACAAACAGTTTCAGGAAAGAAACATTTAACCTTTTCCTCTTTCAGTTTCAACACGACATAAAAGACAATATTGTAACACGTCAACACCAACCCATAACAGCCCAGGAGAGGAAGCTGGAAATACTCTGCAGGTAGAGGAAGGCTCGCTCATACAACCACACACTTGACAAGTCCTCTGCCATCTGGACCAACAACCAGATCACGCTGGTGTAACTTGCATTCCTGAACGTCACATCATTGTTGAAGTTCACTGGATACCAAACATTGTTGATTCTGCCCAAGCGGAACTGAAGGAGGACGAGAATATTTTATTATACTGTACTGTACTTGTCCTCATCATTACTACCATCACAAGAACTTGCACAACAGCTACAATAAACTAACTGCCACCATTACTGACCGTCTGCTCCAGTAACCTCGTCAGATTCTTCTTGTTAAATAACCCATCCTTGGCAGATAAACTCGGCGCCCACAAACTGACCTCTGCAACAATGTATTAAGTCACAATAATTAATCCTCAAAATTTATGCACCTTAGATCTAAGAGATATAAGCGACAAATTTGAAGTGTTCTATTAGTGAACTACTGCTGGATAATCTTAAAAGGCTTACTCGAGGATACTCAGATATTTAAACAGAAGCAATATTAATGGTCTTTGGAATACAATACCACTATATTCCACAAATTAATACACAAGACAAAATCAACTTAAGAAATTAAGAGTTGCTAGACTAAAATACTGGAAAATAAGGAATTTCTACACTCAACAGTGATGAGCAAGTTAGAAATTTTATATTATAATAAATCGAGCATTAAGGTATATTTTAAAAGAACAGTATTTCTTCCGTATAAACTCGTAACAGTGAACACAGGAACTCACCATCTGGCTTCCTTATAACGAGTCTACCTCTCATGACCTGCGTCCCTGAGTGGGTCAGCAAGTGAGCCAAGGTCACCTTGACGCCGTCCACAGTACCCCCCACCACAGCCGAACTGGTGAAGAAAATATTGTATAGTGTTTCCAAAACCTGGCCTCCCGGGGCTGTAACATTATGTCCGTAAGTTTTCAAAGTACACCATTTGTATGTAGTTTATATTTTTGTATAGGTTTTAGATAAAAAATTGTTTTAACAGTAGTTCAGTAAACCCTCAAAGTACTTCTCTACTAAATTGACCAATTATTACTCTGCTAGACAAGGTTAATGTACAAAATTGAGAAATAAGTTCTTGCTGACCTTAAAGCCATATTTACTATGGTCCCCACACGTACTGTAATCACTTGTCTTGAGTTTAGCCAAAACATTTGCTCGGGTGAATACTTACACACCGGGGACGACGCTGACGGAGGTGGTGAAGATGGTGGTGCCGGGGATCCTCCCACATGAAGTCCTGCTCACCACTGACTTAAAGGCTTCCGACACGTCTACTCCCTGTACCTTCCTGCAACCAGAGGGTGAAATATGTAGGTTATGTCAAGGAGACGACTGTAAACAGCTTTGATAACATACGTTTGATCTTTTATCTTGTACCTTTAAATCAATCATTAAATATTGCAAGGCATAATAGGTCTATCACTGGGAATCTAATGAGTTCTGTGAGAATTATCTGCAAGTACTGTAGTATAGTCTTGAGTCAAATATCAAATACCTTCCATATCTGACGATGTGGTCCCCATTGACGACGAGGTCTTGACTAAAGTTCTTGGTGGCTTTGACAACACACGTCTTCCCTACCAGGCAAAACTGGGTCATCCTCATCCCGTTGACCAGCCCGGAGGTCAGCAAGTCACCTGGAGAACATGAGCTTCTTACACGTATAGTACAGGAGTTCACCAAGAGGGACTTAAACCTCCTTTAAAAATCCAAATCTAATTCAAAACAAGAACTACAACTCACCAGCCACATGAACGGTGCCGACGCTCCAGTGATCTGGAATGACCTGACTCCCGCTAACAGTAAAAATGTTCAGCAGATCACTCACAGGACGTCCATTTAAGATTTTAGTCTGGGGGAGGAGATATTTGGAGCAGTCTTATATCATAAATATAATTATTTTCTGAAATACTTTAATTAAATACACTACTGTAACAATGAATGATGACCAATGAATGTTTTGGTTGAGGATGTACAGTATATATGGTGGGAAAACTACGCAGGTTTGTCTGTGTTGTTGATGGTCGTGGCAGTAAATGATGATGGAGGTGATTATGTTGGTGGTGAAAAAAATTGTTCACTGAATTCATAATTTTGGTGTACGAGTTTGGAAAATGTTTATGTATAGAATCAATTTATCTTTTTAACTGTTGACACTATGTACTGTATAGGTACAGTATTGGACAAATGCTATGATTAATCAGAAAATTCACAGTAAAAGCATTTAAGAAACCTTAAGAAAATTTTTAATATTTTCACAAATCTCTAACTTTACCTGGACTCCAGCTGTATACAAGGAGTTGACCGAGAGGAATTCCATGTGGTAGGACCCAGACAGGACCTGCGACCCACTGCAAGTCTTGCGTAGGACCTGGGTACTCAGGCCCATAAGTTCCATGCCGTTGACCTGAAGGACACAGTAGAGTTGGATACAGAAACATTTCTATCCTGGGATCTGATACACGTGTTAGAGGTCTGTATACCAAGACCTTCGGATCACATGATTAAACACTAACACAGCCAAACCAGATCTAACCTAACCTCTCCAGATAGCATTAGTGTGTCTATCTTCACGACATCCAGATATCACTCACCTTAGTTGCCGTCACATGCCGAGCCTCGACGTGGTTCATCTTCAGCGACTCCTGCAGGGTAGTGTCTCGGTCCTTCATCCAATAGTCGTTTAACGACTCACCTGTGATAATGTGATGCTCCAGGTGAACCATACCGGTGGTCATGTTCCTCTTGAAGCTCACTGTACCTGCAAGAGGGTTCCCGAAAACTTAACCCAAACAATTAATACACAGGCGAATTGTTAACTGCAAATCAATTCAGTATTTATCATTAGTTGGTCGCACCTTGGCAGTAGTCAACGTATGTCGTCGAGTGATGACAAATTATCAGAAAAGTACCAATGGATCTAATTCTTAAGAGAATTTTTCTATAACAAATATTTTAAATGCTAACAATAACAATTGCCAAATATTCTCAACTAATCTGAGCCTCAGATCCCTTTACTAGTTCCATATGAAAACTAATTTACATGTTTTCATTTAAGCTTCTTTGCAAAATTATAAAATGGTTCAAGTAACTAATCCCTGTAGTGTACATGTTACTTCACGCACCACTGGCTCTCGTCTGGATATTTCAGAGAAAAACATCAAACCTGTCATAAGAGACGTGTCTTAACAATTAGTACCGTTTTTATTACAACAAAAACCGATCCAATAGTTCTCTTGAAGCTTAAAGCATTATCTACAAAAATCTGACAGTTCCGGATGTTTTAGCGCGGCTCAGGGTCATTATACCACAGCAACTCCTGACAAAGTGGTTTAGTAACAGTTTAATATCAAACTCCCCCACTTAAGAGGTTTGTGACTTCAAGACTAAGCACCGACTACCTCCATTATGAACACGGCTTTCTACTGTGACTCTTTGGCGGTTTATACCCTAAAAAAAATTCGGTCGAGTTGTACACTGAAAATTTTACTCCAGTCAAATTCAACAAAATCTTCCACGTCTTACCCTCTACTGCCAGTTTGTCGTAAGAGATGAGCAAAAGAAGGAGTCAAGCAGTGTAAAGTTTACCTTTGATGAGGAGTTTATCAAACTCCAGGTCACTGCAACTTTTATCAGAATCGACGCCGCTGAGGCCGCTAGCCGCCCGGAAGCTGCCGGTGATGGTGACGGAAGCGAGGAAGATCTTTAAGGAGGTGAAGACAATGTTAGGAGAGCCTTGAAGGATGGCGTCCTCAGACAGGTCCCATCCCTGCACCAGTCCCGCCACCTTCACCCAACTCGCATACACCTCGCCTGGGGGAAGACTCCACTGTTATCACGTCCCTACAATGAATTTTCACCATAATTGAGTTGCGTTTGTAAACATTTGTAGGGGAATATCCTTGTGCCATTTGGGGAGTTTTGAGTGAACAAGCTGGGATGTGGAGTACTAGACAACACTAACTCGACAGTGCTAAGGTGTTCTGATGAAAACCAATACACGTTTAGTTGGAGGCAGGAGGAGCTAGGATGCAGGAGGAGCTAGGATGCAGGAGGAGCTAAGAGAAAGGATCTACTAAGGAAGGTGAACGAGGAGACAAAGAAAGGCCTTACCAAATCTTAATGGAACATGTACGACAGAAGGTTCGTAAACGTGGATGCCTGAGGTGAGGTCCATAATGTCGACCCCTTGAATCTTGACCCCTGGTGCTGCTGTAGCATCCCCAGAGGTCATGCTCGCCAAAACTAACTGACCCGCAATGACCTGATCAGAAGTCGCTAACAACCATCCGTCACTATATGTTGTTGCTGGTACTGCGTCGAAGGTATCTGAAAGGAGTGATTTAAATTTCTTTATGGGTTTCAAAGATAATATTTACCACAATATATGTCAGTCAGGAGAAAGTGAAAATAATCATCTTGAACACTTATGACAGTCCACAGCATAAATAAACGGAAGACTTACACAGGAAGGGGAGACCTAGTGACTTATTTATCAGCAGTAGACAAAATTACATCTAAATCCATATGTCTTATCAATGACCAAATGACCTCTCATCACCTCACCATGTCAGATGACCATTCTCTTCACCTTACCTTTTCCATTTGAATTTCCAGTCAGTTCACCCAGTTAACCTAGTCCATTTAATTCCCTAAAAACATCATTCATTTATTACACACTTGTCTTTCATTATAGATAAATCACACGCCATCGTTTTTATTTGTGGTGTACCAGGTAGAAGAACTCAAGGAAGGTGAGAGAGATAGGAACAAAGACGTACTGAGGAAGATTGAAGAGACCAGAGGATGTCCCGATGGAAAGACCTACCGAGGAAAGTGAGCGAGGAGATGGAGATGGCGCCCTGGAAAAGAAGTCCTCCGGTAATGGTGGCGAGCTGCTCGAGGTACACCACACGCCCAGCCACACTGTTGAGTTGGGCGACAAAACACACCAGTTCATAAACCCCAACTGTTTTAAAGCTTTAGAAGAGGAGACAATCCCATATCACTATTGATGAGAGATTTTTCTTTAGATTAAACCATTAATTTAGTTATATACTGTACACAAGGATTAAATTATTCTGGGATAATTGTGCTTTACATAATATACACTTGTACTGTACAGTCCTTACACAAGAGGACTCGAATCATTTTGGAAATATGAATGTTTACAATATTAACGGACAAAAAATAAAATGAAATCATTCTGGAAGTTGTATAAACTAAATTTGAAAAGATGTAGGTTCGGAAATTATCATTAACACCAAATCATACCTAATCCAGCCTAACCTAACTTAACTTTAACCAAATTAACCCAACCACACTAAATATATATTAAAAATCATTAGGTTCTTGTTATTAATGGAGAGCAAATAAGCTACACCAGAGTCTTATTTTATATCAAGTTTCATAAAACGTATTTAGTGTGTAAAGCAACTATCAAGGAGGTTCACGCGAGTCCTGCCTGGGGAGACTGAAGACCTGGCCAGTCGAGGTTCTGAAATCTTGTGTCGTCAGGCCCTGAAGCACCACCAGCTTCTCCAGCTTCATGGCACCTGTCAACACCTGTACACCACCTGTAAATTAAGTGGGGTTTTATAAGTACTGCATAAACGTAGATAAATTTATACATATCAGCTAAGGTACGTAGAGTTTGGAGTAGTTAGCTACAGTTAAGTGCCAGTTAAATTTGATTAGAGCTTATTACTAACTAAAGCAAGTAAAGTTTGGAGTAAGTGACAGCTAAAACAAGTAGGATTTGGAGAAAGTAAATTACCACCAAAAACTCGGTACAGTATGCTGTCTAACACTGTACAAAGTAGAATTGAACAAAACTTGTACCCAAAACTTAATAATGACAAATTTGGATAAAAACATCACTCACAACATGACTCCCATACACATCTTTTACTAGACAAAAATAAAGAGTTCCTACCTGGATTCTTCCTGAGGGAGTCGTGGAAGAGGGCGGTGACATTGATGCCATTAATGAGGTCCACCTGTAGATCACCTACCTGGACCTCCCCTTCCCTCACCCCAACCTCCAGGAATCTCTTCTCCCCTGCAGCAGAAAATATAACATCTTGAGTTTAGT